AATCTTATTTCATGAAAAGTGCTTTTATAAAAAAATATTTAATGCGTATTTTTAAGTATAACTTTTCACCTAAGTAACAAAATATCGGACATTGTGTCTTGATTTTGTGTAAAAGTGATACACAACTGAGTCAACTAAAACGTAAAGAAACTTCTGTTTCAGTAAGATGGTTAGTTATAAAATTCATGTTTAAAAATTAGTGGCTACACCAAAATGCCAGTGTTCACCGACTACAAAATAAAATAGAGAAGGATTTTGTTCCTAAATCTACAAAAATATAAACTTAAGAAAAATAGGAAATGTATGTAAAATACTTGGGAATAATAAGCATCTAAAGACTTGTTTAGAAAGCTGTAAAATTTTACTCAAACACATAAAATAAGAAATGAACAAATGAAAACATACTATTCTTAGGGTAGAAAGATATGAAGTAGTTACTCTTCCACAATCAGTCATACAGTTTTATTGCTTTGGGATTTGGGGAAACTTGATGAAATGATTCTAACATCAATCCACAAGAATACTACAGGACTCTAGTCAAGAAGATTTTGCTAAAGAACATGTGGCGGCGGGTTACCCTTATAGAAATAAAAATCTGGTCATTGAATGACATTGTAGACGTGTAGTTCTGGTGGAGGAATCAATAGATAGCTCACTGGAATAGAGTAGCCTGAAAACAGGCTCAGGTAGTTTTGGGAAACAGAAGCATTCTGAAACAGTGAGAAGTATTAGACAAAACCAAGGCACCATGCCAAGTAGGTAGAAAACCTTCAACTAAGAACCTCTGTTTACACGATTCACTAAATTCCAAACATATTGGAAAGTTGATCTGGCAGGTGAGAAACAAAGCCAGAAGAAAATACTTAGGAATTAATGCAAAGAATGGCAGAGCAGAAGATAGCTTTGAATATATTTTAAACTTTCGTATGCAAAAATATACAGTTTAAAGCAGAAAATAATCATGGAGAAAAATACAGCAAGCATGACAGAACAGTTAATAGAATAATTGCACTGAAGAACTCTTGCATATCAGTAAGTAGAAAATAACACCCCAATAGAATTGTCCAATTATCTGAAGAAATGATTTGAAAGGATGAAATAAAAAGGCTAATTCACATATTTAATAAATAATTCTTACTATTAACCACAGAAATGCAAATGCAGACAAAAATGAGATGCCATGTTTCATGTATTAAACAAGCAATATGTATGCATATATGTATATATATAAATAGAAATACTCAGTACCAGGAGGGATGCAGTGAGAAGGACATTTTCATTACTGCTGGTGGGATAATCACATGATACAATCTTCTTGGAGGACAGTTTTAAAAGCCTTTGACAAATATTTTCAAAGTTCATATTATTTGACACAATCATTTCTCTGGCTTTTAATTTTAATTTTAGTCTCTGCTGAGGAATTAGATGCAGGCAAAAACAATAGAAAAAATTACCCTTTAAAACTAAAAACTGGGGGGCTCATTAAAGGTATTTTAAGGTCCCTAAATAATAGAAAATTATGGAGATATTAAAAGTGATCATTTCAAAGATTATGTAATGATGTGGAACAACTTCAGTTTTAAGTAGAAATAAGCCAGTCCGCAATGATGTGTGTTTCATGAGATGGAAATATCCTATAGGTACGTAAAAGCTGGAACAAAAACAAAGTTAGGCCATGTCTGGATGGTAGAATTATGGCTTTGCTTTTATCTTTTTTATACCTTTCCATATCAAGAAAAAAAATTAGTCAATAGCACTGTCTTATGAATCAGAAAAACCATTATTTTACAAAAATGGTAGTGTTACACATTCAGGTTATAATCATTTATGTAACACACATTCATTGATTATCTCTGTGTCAGGAGCTCTGCCAAGTGTATCAGCAATGACTCTTAGTTTGCATGCAAATGAAAGAAACTGTCTAACTTGAGCAAAAAGAATTTACTAGAAGGTTATCAGATAGCTAAGAGAATTGCCATGAATGGGGAAGGGGGAGCACAGGGCAAAAACAAACAAACAAAAAACAGAACAATGACCAAAAAACAGGCTTGCAAGCAAACCAGAATCTAGTCAGCTCCAGGCTCTAAATATCAGGTGCTTAGAGAAACAGGCTCCAGCCAAGAATAGGCTGCTCAGGGCTAGGCCACGGTCTGCTGGTAGTTATACCTGGACTTGCCCTCCACCCCCCTCCTCCCCACTCAGCCCCCTGGGCATCAGGGAGGGGAGGGCACCTAGATTAGCAGGCCCACTTCCCCCTTTACTAACAAAGAAACAAGAAAGATGGGTGATACACAACCAAAACCAAACCAACACAAAAAAGACAGAATTAAAATGCCCATTACCCCAGGACTTGGAGGCCAGTGGGGTTGAACAGCAGCCAGCTCCCCTTCTCCTCAGAGAACATCTGAGCTGTAGAATCACAGCTCCTACAAGGTTCAGGACACTGTGTGCGTGCTGGTCCCTCACCCAGGAGATGCTGTTTTTGCCCAGGGTCAGCAGTGATGGGCTTTTCAGACCTGATCTTTGTGGATGGGCAGGAGTTTTTAGGGGAGGTCCCATTCTCCAGTGAGATAAGAACCAGTGGGAAGGATTATCCAAAAACAGTTTCTCAGAAGCAAGAGGTATAGTTTGGAAATGGACGGGGGCATCAACACAAGTCTAAGCCTGTTTTATATTTAGCAAGTCCTGTAGTAAGGTTTGAGTTTGGTCCACCATGAATAACTGTGGTCTCCGTTCAAGTAGCTTGGTACATAATACCAAACATCCATAGGTAAGTTGGTATTCTTCCCACGGTTCTTGTCATAAACAGGAAATGTCTGTGGCTATCCGGGTACTTTCATGCTCAGGTTCATGTTGCTTTTATAATTATTTATAAACTTTTCCCTGAGGAAAGACTTGCAAATGGAAGGGAAAAAAGGAAATTGTTCTTCAGTTGCACTAATAATAGGACTGAGAAAATCTTAAATTACTAGGAGGGTTCACCCCCCCACCCTCCCCCCGCCGCCGGGTATTGCCCTGCAAAGAGCTCAGCTGCTCTGTCCCCCAACCTCTTCGTACCTGCACAGCCACACCCCTCTGTACCAATCAAAGAGCCCATGTGCCGCCTTTTCACCTCTGCGCTGTGCTGTGCATACCCAGGTCTTGGATTTCCCTGCTCAAAAGGCTCCTGGGCCCGAGGGTGGCTGAGGAAAGACTGTTCGTGGGAAGTGAGGCTGGAGCTGGGACAGGAGGATATTGTAGTCCACGCACAGGTGCTGGAGGTTAGGGTAGAAAGAGCAAGGGGACCAGGCAGGAGGCTGGTGCTCCTTGCTTGGCTGGGTTCTGGAACTCAAGAAATCTGAATTTAGACTTGTCTTCTAGGTTGCTATGAAGGCGTATTTGTCAAGCTAGGCAGATAGAACATGTTTAACAATTTTTAGCTTGTTTTATCATATTTAAATGTATAATAATTAAGACTCCATTTGTGCTTTTGCCCCCTCAAATGTTAGGCTTGGGCCTGCTCAGTTAAATCTTTTAGAATGGTGATACTCAGTTGTACACACAACACACACACACACACACACACACACGCAATTAGCTACTTGTGCAACAACAATACAGATCAGAGGAAAAGCGGATTGCACTCCTACAATAATAGCTAACATACTGAACAAGATGCATTAAATCCTCATCCCAGTATTTTACCTGTATATCTTAATTAATCTTCAGAAGAGCGCTCGCTATAGGTCATTCAAGGCAAACTACCCTGCAGTTAGGTAGGGTAATGAAGAGGAGTCAAACTCTGGCTCCCCATCGAAATCCGATGTCAGTAGATAAGAAAAGTTTTGTTTGAAGTCCTTGAACCTTCAATAATGTACAAAGCACTGGATTAATCAACCCATTCTGACTCTCCAATCCTCTGATTCAGCATTTCTGTTCATGCAAATTTCCCCGTGAAAAGGGAAAGTAAATGCATTGATGGCCTTGCTGTGTTCAGTATTATGATTAACCGAATGATCAAAAGCAAAAATCAATATCTGGTTGCTTGTATAAGAAACACATTTGATTTACATTTTAAAACCGATGTCAGGAGATTTCCCTTTGCCTGTTTTCAGGGGAATTGCCACTTAGGTCATTGATGAAAGTAAATTAGCAGTGAAGAGTACCTTTATTTTTCCTATAAAGCGCTGGTTCACAATCCCAAGCATCCATTTCCCTACTGTCCAACTGAATCAAGAAGCCTTTATCCAAGCGTTGTTTCCATCACTCCTTTAATAAGTTAGAGAAGGAGGGAGGGAGGATGGGCATGAGCTCACTCACTCACACCTTCAGTCCCAAATATAAATTCTATGACAGAGTCAACAATTGTTAGCTTCACTTTTCAAATTCAAGGTTGACATACTATTTAAGAAACTCTTTAGCTGTTTTCTGGATGGAATTTGACCCCTTTGCTTCTAAGGATGACCGTTTGAGTCATGCAAATAGATACTTGTATAACACACTGATTTTTCAAACTAAGTTGTTCTTAACCGTCAGCTGAGTTGCCCACCTGCCTAATTTAGTTGCACTGCAATTTACTGACCCAGGAAAAGAACTTCCTAGCAGTGAAGACTAGAAAACTTCATTTGTTTAAAAGATTCTTCCCCCAAAGTAGAGACCGTTGCTACGTGGGTATGATTTAATCTCTAAAAATATAAACAGTGATGGGGGGATTGGTGGTTAAAGGAAAAAAAGTTCTTAAACTGTAGAGTTTTCTTTTTTGTCTAGGCTTCAGAGACATGGAAACAAATAACAAAAGGAAATTTCCAATAGTATTTGAGTAACAGCCATTAGTGACTTGAGTTAAATAGTAGTTTGTTTTACCCCCTCATTTCCAAGGAGTCCCTAAATCTCATCTACTTTCTCGCTTATGCCCTATCCCTGTCCCCATCACCACTTCCATAGAATCTCTCAATTAGACCTTGTGTCAGCCTCTTTGTTCTGTCTTCATTCCCACCTCAAAAGTAACATTGGAGGTACTGCGGGTCTCCTTGCAAGAGGCGGCAGCTCCAGAGCAGAGTACCAACTGCGGCGGTCGGCGTCATGGCAGGGCAGGCGTTTAGAAAGTTTCTTCCCCTCTTTGACCGAGTTTTAGTTGAAAGGAGCGCAGCTGAAACTGTAACCAAAGGAGGTATTATGCTTCCAGAAAAATCTCAAGGAAAAGTGTTGCAAGCAACAGTAGTAGCTGTTGGATCGGGCTCTAAAGGAAAGGGTGGAGAGATTCAACCAGTTAGTGTGAAAGTTGGAGATAAAGTTCTTCTCCCAGAATATGGAGGCACCAAAGTAGTTCTAGATGACAAGGATTATTTCTTATTTAGAGATGGTGGCATTCTCGGAAAGTATGTGGACTGAAATCATTATTAAAATGGCATGAAGTGAAGCTGCCCATTCCAGTGAAGTTGTGAAATCTTTCATCATGTAAATAATTTTCATGTCTCTCTTTTATAATAAACTAATGGTATCCAAACTAATGATATCCAGTGTCTCCAAAATTTAGTTTTAGTGTACTGATAAAAACATCAGCAAATAAAAATGCATAAATGAGTGGTTAAAAAAAAAAAAAAAAGTAACATTGGATCACCTGATTACAACCATCCCATTGAAAACTTCCTACCCAGCTACCACCCTCCCCACCCCCCATCCCCCCACCCCCCAAAATCTTCTTCCACCTGGTTTTGGGTTACCCCTCTCAAAGCAGTCATCACACCATTTGGTAGATGTTTTCTTACTTGGTTCCCTTCTTGTACAAGACTGAGAACTCTTCTAAAGCAGGTAACTTGTCTCTTGGTGCCTGTATCCCCAGCACCCAGCTTTATGCATACGTGTGTCAGGTCTTCAATAAATGTTTGTGGGCGGAAAAAATGTTTGTGGATAAATGCATGTTACCTAGGTTAAAAAAATGAGTCTAGATGCAAAAGAGTAATGTCATTGTTTAAAATTCTGGGATGGGACCTAGCAATGGTCTAATCCATTTCCTTAATACTAGCATGGAACATTTTTTTTTTTTCTCCTCCTTTCTATAGATGAAAAACATATGGAAGGAAAGATTAATCCTCTGTTTATGGTTAGAGACAAATTTTAATATTGGATATGGGTATAAAGTAGACCTTCTAAATACATTGAAAAGAGAGTAAGGAAGAGGTGCACCTGGGTGGCTCAGTTGGTTAAGCGACTGCCTTCGGCTCAGGTCATGATCCTGGAGTCCCAGGATCGAGTCCCGCATCGGGCTCCCTGCTCAGCTGGGAGTCTGCTTCTCCCTTTGACCCTCCCCCCTCTTGTGCTCTCTTTCATTCTCTCTGTCAAGTAAATAAATAAAATCTTAAAAAAAAAAAAAAAAGAGTAAGGAAGCAAACCATAAGTGAAGAGCCCGTTTTCCAGGAATAGAGTAAATAGACTGAGCTGCTTTAAAAAATATTAAGAATAGTTATTTCATTACGAGATGTAACTTACACTTCTCTGATGTCTCAAACCTGGTATGAATATGCACAGTCGATGATGCTTGAATATTAGTTGGTATTTTTTACGGGAAGCTGGGGTTTTAGTCGTTTCTGCTCTGGTCTTTGGTACCATGTGTTTCCATAGTAACAGAGGCATTCAAAAATGAGAAAAACCAGGAAGGCTTGGGAGGGAAATGAATCGAAGTAAGTGGTTCAAGTAGGGGGTTCCCCAGTGTGGGACCGGGGTCTCATCAGGCTTCTGGTCACAGATATTTGTGGCAGGATGCCCAGAGAGAGAAGATTCTAGGGTGATAACTGGAAGGGATTTTAAAAGTAGTGTATAGATACACTGTGACAGCAATTACTATGTTGCCTTCAGCTTGGATTCCTGTGGAGGGTACCTGCATGGCCACATTAGCAGTCTACACTGGTTGAAAGAAACACTCAACACCCAGAGCCCACTAACAACTAGGAATCAGGGAACACGACTAGAGACTTTTACTATCTGCGAAATATAGTTGAGCTGTCCTTTTAAAGCTGGAAAGTGTAGGGGAGAACACTGTGAATTAGGTACTAAACATTTGACAATGCCGTTTTAGAGCAGAGTCTTGTGGCCTAGATATGTTCCGTTTGGCACACATAGTGTGAAATTTCCCCTAAAAACTCAGGTTTCTTCTCTTAAAAAAAAAAAAAAAAACCTGATATATACACAAACACAAAATTTGGCAGTCCTGTGTTTTCTTATGGCACCCATCCACTGTAGCTGATTAGCAGTTGCCTCCATCATAGACAGGTAATGGAGTCTTCACTTTGTCACAGTGTCCATCACTCTCTGTGGGATCCCATCAGGCCATTTTAATTGTTTATGTTGCTCTCTTGTGCCTTGAAGCCTTTTGAATTTGTCATCTTTGGATTACAGGGGAGGGTCGCTTTATGGTTTTGAGTCATTATTATACAATGTTCCTTCTTCATCTCATTTCCTAAAAATATAAGCTTATTTGTTTAATAATTTAAATATAAGGCAAATGAGATTTCAGAAAGATACATTTTTACAATTCCATCCTAGGGGAAAAAAAATATTGAGTTAAGCCTTCTTAATATTTGGTGGGAATATTTGCATAGTTAGGCTTCAGCAACTCAACCTCAATATTTTGCAATGTGGGATAATTATTAAAAACTTCCTCATGTGGTCCATTTGAATTAAACCAAAATAGAAAAGGAAATCATATGGTCTCGAGCTTCCTGGAGGTAGGGATTATCAAAACTCAGAAGGATGCTATCATATTTCATATGATACTATCATCTGGAAAATATAAAACATTCAGATTGCAAATATGCCCACAGAAGTGAAGTAGAACCTTATAAATGATATGCACTCTATAGAACAGCTGGAAGAATCTCAAAATCAATATTGGAATCACCCAGGGCGACTGAGAATAATGCTATCACTGTACCTTACTAAAAAGTAATGAAAAACAAATGAGATAGAAAATTCCAGAGTTGTCCCTAGAGTTACTCTTTGCTTGAGATAGGAGAATGAGAGAAGACTTTAGAAAGTGGCTTCCCAGTTCTTTTCAAACCTCAACCTGATTTTAATCATAGAGCACGGCCTGCCTGTCGAGGGGGCTTTCTTTCCTAGGTAAACCAGGGTGTGCAAGGACTGTCGATGTCACTATAAAACAAAAATCTTTGGTTCCAAGTTAATCACTTAACTAGTAGGATTAAAATAAAGATAACTGGATCTTTTAGGGTGGTGCCTGCTTGCTTCTGCTTTGTTTTTTGGTTTTTGGGGTTTTTTGACAGGCTAAATAAAAAAGGATTAAAGGATAAAAATTTAAAAATAGGATAAAAATAGATATGACCATTCCTAACTAGTCATTCATTTATTCAACAGACATGCATTCAGTACTGCTGTGTTTACTGGGGTGGCACTTCCATGAACATAGATAAAAATCCCTCCTCTGCAGGGAGAGACAGTAAACAATAAATTAAGAAACGGATAGAATGTTGGAAGGTGATCAGTGCTTTGAAAGAAATAGAGTGGGATAAAGGGGTTAGGAAATGGGTGGGATGGTGGCAGGAAAGGGTGCAGTTTTAAATAGGGGGGGTCAGGATAGGCTTGTTGAGAAGGTGATGTTGAAGGAGGGAACTACCCATGTAGATCTACCTTGTCTTGTGGATGGGAGAATGTCCCAGCGGAGAGAACCCAGTGAGCAGGCCCCAGGGTACAATGCCTGACTTGTGGGAGGAAGTGCAGGGAGGCCAGTGTGGCCGGAACAAAGTGAAGGAGGGGTTGGAGCCAGCAGGGACACCTTAGTCTTTTCTCTGAGCAAGATGGGGGGGCCACTGGAGGGATTTGAGCAGAGGCCAGAATCTGACCTATTTTACCAGGAGTCTGGCTTCCCTGTCGAGAAGGGGAAAGTATGAAAGTGGGGAGACTGATCAGGGGAACACTGTAATAATTCAGGCGAGAGAGATGGTGGTTTGACCAGACTTAGAGCCGTGAAAGTGGTGAGTTGTGACCCAGTTCTTACATATTTTGAAGGTAGGGTTTCCTTAGGATTGGATACAGGTTATGAGAGAAAGAGAGGAGTCGAGGATGACTCCAAGGTTTTTGACCTGAGCACCTAGAAGAATGAAGTTGCTTTCACCTAAAGAAGGGAAGACTGTGGGAGAAGGAGGTTTCTGGGGGTAAATTAGGAGTTTAGTTTAAACAGTGGGCATCTACTTCTGATGGAAATGTTGAGTAGTTTGTAAGTCTGGGGTTAAGGAGAAAAGTCTGGGCTGGAGGTAGGGATGATGACCTCACCAAAGCAAGTGAGTTTAGACAGAGAAGGAATCCAAGGGCTGAATCTTGGGAAATTCTCCATTTAAGAGTTTGGGTGGGGCACCTGGGTGGCTCAGTCATTTAGCGTCTGCCTTCAGCTGAGGTCACAATCCCAGGGTCCTGGGATTGAGGCCCACATCGGGCTCCTTGCTCATCAGGAAGCCTGCTTCTCCCTCTCCCACTCCCCCTGCTTGTGTTCCCTCTCTCACTGTGTCTCTCTCTGTCAAATAAATAAAATCTTTAAAAATAAAATAAAAAAATAAACCTCTGAATATCTAATTAAAAAAAAGAGTTTGGGTAGCAGAGGTGGATCCAATAGAACCGGCAGAACCAGCTGCTCTAGAATCTACCCAGTCACATATATGGTGGTTGACTGGCTGCTCTTTGGGGTGATGGGGCTGAATGGGTCACATGACCCTGACCCTCAGCAGGCTACCTTCAGCCTGTTCCCATGCACCTGAGCAGGGATCCAAAAGAAAAGGGAAGCACACAGACCTCTTAAGGCCCAGACTGGGAGAAGGTACACGGTCACTGTAGGCACATTCTCTTGGTCAAAGCAGGTTTCAAGGCCAGCCCAGATTTAAGGGGTAGGGAAGTGGATTCTATTTAAAGAAAGCTGCTGCACAGTCACATTGCAAGGGCTGTGGACACGAGGTGGAGTTTTTGTATTCCAGTTTGCATATGATTGCCTCTTTGCATATGATTGGCCTCTTGCAAGGGCCCTCACAATTTTTCATTTGGAAATAGAATTTTCGTTTTGGGTCAAACCTCAACCCCATTCTTGAGCTGCTGAGGACACTGTTACTGCAGCCCTGCTAATTGTCCAGATTTTTCTTAGTGAAAATAGCTTTTCACGCAGTTACATGTTGACAGAATTTGAACCAGAGCTCTGTCTCTAGCAGTTTTAGTAATTCCCGAGATGAAGTTATGGCACATAGTAGGTGCTCAAGAAGCTATTTATGTGGTTGTAAAAAGAAAAGCTATACTTCAGAGTTAGAACAATGGTATTTACCATAACAGATTATTTGAGCACGTATTACTTGCCAGATATTCTTATAGGCATTATGTGCCCTATCTTATTTAATCCTTCCAATGGGCTTATAAATTAGGTGCTGCCATTATTCTCATTTTATGACTAGAAACTGGCAGAGTCCCCATCCAGGAGCAGATCTTCCTTGCTCTATTAAGACTATTCTCCCGCAAGCATAAAAG